TGCGGACTTGATATCCTATTTACAAACACATTAGAACAAATCCCTCTATTCATTAAGAGAATGTAACTATATATCTATCCTAACCACTTTGAATACACAGATACAAAATGAACATTCTTACAAAAATGGGCTAGCTACAAAAGAGGGAGTTTCACTCTCCTTCCCCCTTCATCTCCTGTACTGTCTTGCCATAAGAAGCCTTCCACCACATTATAACTTAGCAAGAAGGTTCTCATTATGTGTGACCCCAGAACTAGAGTACCCTATGAGTCAAACAAACTTCTATCATTTATAGTTTACCCATTCTTTGGTATCTTGTTACAGCAGCAGAAAACAAACCAACACAACAGGTCCAGTACACAGTACATAATCTATAAATAAATACATTATTACTATTGCTGCCTAGTCTGTCTTCTCCATTTCCGACTTTTCATCTTCTATGTAATGCTGCTATTTCTCAGCTATTTTTGTTCCATTCTAGGCTTTCTTTTCTCCCACCTTATAAGCTCTCCTTTAGCAATGTCATTCACTTACACACCAATCCCCTCAAATCAATGCCTCTTATCTACACTTCACCCCTGAGTCCCAGACCTACATACTCAACCTCTTCCTCAACAGCTTCACAAGAATGTCTCAAAGGCATCTAACTTAACATGCCCCATACTAAATTTATCTTCTCCTCATCTTAGACCTTCTCCTTCTTCTACTATTTTGGTAAGTTCTTCCTAATTCACTTAGTTTCTCAAATCATAAACTCTGAGGTCATCTTGGTCTCCTTTTTCATCCCCCACCACCACAGCTACAATTACCATTTCCTATCTACTATACAGTTTGTGCTGCTATAACACTTCTTTGGAAAGAGCAGATTTATTCCAATGTAATTGATATATGAGACAATAATTCAGGAGAATGCAACTTTTGCACTTGCTCATGTGTCATCCTGTATACCAGATATACTAAAGAAACTCAGGAACTCTAAATGTGTACATGCCCACCTACCAGTCCTGGAGAGCACTACGGTGACACAGACCACACCATCTGGTTACAGCTTTCCATCTGATTTCAGATAATCTTCTATCACTTCAACAACTAATAAGCTGAGCCTTCTTATGACCATTTTTATGAACAAACTTGTGACTTTTACCATGTTGTTTATCATGACTTTTTCAAGGTAAAGCACTATTTTTATTGTGGCATTTATGTATTCCTTAACCATTTAACATGTGAAATTATTACATTCTTATCTTTTTCCATAAACATGTCACAAGTAGTTTTCTGATGAAGTTTTTGATTGAACATTATATTCCTAGGTACATTTTTATTGAAAGACTTTCTATATGGGGACTTTCCGGGACTTTCTAGTATATGATGTATTACTGCAAAACTGACCATACCATTTAACATTCTAGAATCAGTCTATTTCTCTACCTTTCCCACTGCTATCAGTTTAGTCCAAGTAATTACCATCTTCAGCATTGATCGAATTCCTTAACTCTCAACCAGGGATAGTACTTCCACCACTCCCCTCCATCTAGTCCACTAGAAATGTATGCGCAGCGGGGAGAAGAAGCATTTTTGATGTAAAATGATTTATAGTGGGGCAGTGAACAGGCTGGGGATGCTACACGTTCAGCAATGTCACCCACATGCTTTCTCCTACTAAAAACTGCCAAGTGCACCCCCACTAAGAAAAACCAGAAGCTCGTCTCCCATGTCTGCTCTTAGCTCTCTCCAAAGTGCAACCAGAAAGAGCTTTTTAAAAATGCAAATCAGATGGTGCCTCTCTTATGTCTAATACCCTTTAATAGCTTCCCCTTGCCCTAACGATAAAGGTCAAAATCAAAGTGTGGTCTCCAAGTTCCTGCCTTTCCCTCTGGCTTCATCTCATGCCACTCTCCTCTTCCACATTCACTGTGCTTTAGGTAGTCATTCATTTAACAAATACTGATTAAATATCTGTGTGCTGTGATCCATTCAAAGTGATCAGAATAGAATAGTGAACAAAAGACAAAATTCTGTCTCTGGCTTCTATGAAGCTGTCAGGCTTCTTTTCACCTTAAGGCTATCTCCTATGCTATCTCATGTGCTTAGCCAATTCTACCTTTAGATTTCAGCTTGTACATCCTTCCTCAGGAAACTATCCCATCACTCTACCCTGCTAAATTATTATACAATCCAGGACACTGAGCTGTTCAGTATTACTCAATGTGACTGAAATAAAATAATCTCAATACCCATCTTTTCTGATATAGCCCCAGAACATAGCACAGTACCTGGCACCCAGAAGGCACTCAAAATGTTTATTGATAAAGATATGCATGTCTTCGCATGTTATGAATATGTATACATATTCATACATTCATAGCTATACATCTTTCCAAATATTTACACAGATGGCTACATTTATGTGAATATACAAAGTCATATGTAATGACATGTACATAAAATTTGGAGCGTACTTACTTGGGGGCACTCACACAGGTACTCCTGTGTATTAATATATGGACATGTATGGTTGTGTGCATGTGTGTAGAGTGACCATGCATGTGTGTTCCTAAGTGACAGCTCTGACCTCCTGGAGCTAGAAGCAGGCCCCCAAGTCTTCTTTAAGCTGACAGCTCAATAAAAGTCTAAGATCATTCAATGGCATTCCAAATGTCAGCAAACACTGGCTTGCTGCACTCTGCTAGTGGGGAGGCAGGTAGAAGTAGGAGACAGAAACCTGGCTGTTGAAAAGCTGCTCTTTCCAGTGGCCCATACCACTTCTGGAGAAGAGAGGACAGGTGAAGGTCAATATCTCAGTTTAGAGGTCTTAGAAAATATGATGCTGAGTTCAGCCACAGTTGCTCACTGAGCTGCACACCTGGAACATGAAGTAGCCAGAGGCCAGAAAAGAAGGGATTACGCCCCTTGTTTTCTCCAATTCTGTTTGATTCACCTCATGGAAAGAAATCACAGAGACCAAAAGGGAACAGAGTTCTCCGTTTCCCTTGTATCTATTCTCTCCCTCTATAACTCATTAATCTGGCACAGAACCAAGGTGAATGCTCAGGACAGCTTCCCTCCACCTCCAAAGGCCCAGTGGCACAAAGGTGGCCCTCAGTGGCAATGTTACCACATGGGTCAGCTGCTCTCCTGCCTTTCCGCCAAGAAACCTAGAGGCAGAGAGCTATCCACATACCAAAAAGTCTAGTGAACTTCACAGGGTAATTGTTCATGGTCAGCGCCTGCCTCGCCTGGCCGGGCCTTCACATTGCATTTGCTGAGGCCAGCAAGCAGCTTCAGATGAGCTCTGACAGCTAGCATACTGTCTTCCAGAAGTACATGCCTAGCCTCACAGGCACGCTTATCCCCACAGAGCCCCACCATGGAGGACCTCTGTGGAGCTAGTTCTCAAAGATGAGGCAGGAAGCCAGCAATTATAGTATTCACAGTACACATACTCTGTACTCAGCCCTGGTCTCATGAAGGGACACAGAGAGCAACAGCCTCTGCTCCAGTTGGACATGTCAGAAGGAAACACACATGGACTTAAGTTCCAAATGCTTTAAGTGATATCCCATGTGCCCAAAACCTCCAGGCAAGAGAAGCTCAACAGAAATGATACCTGAATTAGTCCTCAACCAGAGGGAATATGTCTGCTGAAGATGACTGGAGGACATCTCATGCAGAGGAAAGGCCACAGGCCAGGCCAAAAAGGCAGGACAAGTCCTCAGCCAAAGATAAAAAGTAATAAGAAGCAGCAGCACAGCTGCAAGGCAGATCAGTAGGAGAGGGGAATGGGACCAAGGTATACAAAGAAGCCAAAGTGCACAGGATCTAAATGTTGGGAGAAAGCAAAGGAGCTTACAGAACATGGAAATAAGTCCACAGACATTCTCATTGTGGAACAAACACTTCCAATACCTTCTCTCCCCACTTTTCTTCCATATGCTCACTTAGCTTCAGTCACACACACACACACACACACACACACACACACACACACTAAATGAATGCTGCTCTCCTCCCTAGAAACCATTCTCTCCTCCTTGTATCTATATGCCACCTTCCTGGAGGAGCCAATTCTAGATCCAAATCCTCATAACATCTAGCCTGACCCTCCAATGGCCTCTTTTATTCTAAGCATTCTGGGAACTACCATCTCAAACCACAGTACGTTCTCTCTCCTTCAGCTTCCCAGGAATCACTAAGCTGACTGGTAACATGAGGTCTCTGAGACTACCCCAGGGCTATGGTACTTCTACTACAATTATTTATAGACGTGAATCTTCTTGTTGACTGGCCTCCAGAAGCAGGGAACCATCTAAAGCAAGGACCTAAGGAATCTATTCCTACATAAGCTTTCTCTGTTTACCTAGGAAGTACACCAAAACACTAGTTTTCCAAATGGGTCATTCTCTAGTACAGCCACTATGCTAGCTATCCAGGGTCCTTCCTAGCCCACAGTCTCTGCCAATTCTCCAGGTCCTTAGTGCTGCACTAGAGCCAGTATCCTCCTAGGCTCTAGTTTCTTTAGCCATTTCTGACAGGAACAAGGGCCTGCTGAGGTTAAGTGGAACTCAAGTGAATCAGAACGTGCTCTGCATCCCATCTAGAGGGAAACTAGTCAGAAGGCTCAGAGACCAAACACAGGACAGCTTAAAGAAGAATACTTTGTGGAAGCTCAGTTAGCAATACAGCTCTCCTAGCAAGAAAGCATCTCAGCCCAGAGATCATATCTGACTAAGATCCATGGAAAAATCCCCTTAACTAGCATCACTGTGCATGTCTCTGTGACACCACAAAAGGCAATGTCACATTTCACCCAGCAACCTGGTCCCCAGGAAGCTCTCCATTCCAAAAAATAACATTTTAGTACATACTGAATAGGAAAGAAGAACAAGGGATTTTAAGAAAAGAGGCCAAAAAGAAAAAAAAAGAAGAAGAGATGGGAGAGGAGGGGAACTCTAAGGCACAGGAGAAGCAGAGCAAAGCCCTCAGTGGGGCTCAGACAGTACCTTTTTCAGATTAATCCACTGCTTGAAGTAATCCGCCACTGGCAAGCCCAAGTACTGGCACTGGCCTGGGAGCCTACGAGAAAAGGAAGAGAGAACAAGTTGGGCACAACACATGTTCCATGTATGGAGTCTTAAAACAGAGACTTCATTAAATCTTCAAGGCAAACAGACCTTAAAGACCAAAGCTGGGTGTGGTGGTGCACACTTATAACCCCAGCTATCGGGCGGCTGAAGCTGGGGGATCACTGTGAATTCAAGAGCAGTTTGGACTATAAAGTGAGCTTAAGGCTGGCCTGAACTGCATAGCAAGACCTTGTCTCAAAAAGACCAAAAAAATTTTTAAAAAAAGACCAAACTATTAGCCACTGATACCATCACATCCAAAAAGGGACCCTAACTTCTGCACCAGACACCAGGCCCTCGAACAAGACATCAAACCCAAGCACCAGCGTCTGGAGATGCTGCCGATAAAAATACCAGCAGCTATTTCCTTATGGTCTATAGCAAGCTAAGTACTTTACTTATATTTTTCACATTTAATCTTAAAAAAATAATGCTGTGAGGTAGGTACATCTATCTATGAGGTTATGTACACCTCACAAAAATAAATAAATAAATAAATAAGAGTCAGAGAAGTTATCTGAGGTCTCAAAGCTAAAAAGTGGACAGTGCCAAAAACTAAACCCAGTTCCATCTCACTCCAAAGTCCATGTTCTTTCCAGCAGACCAATCTGCTATCCTTTTATTATAGCAGGGAGGCAGAAATGCAAACAGGAGAAGAGAAAGAGCACATAATACATAGGGACAGGCAGGGTCTCAGCTCACCTTTAAGGCTCTCATTGTGGGCTTATCTCAGATTTAAAAAATAAAAAAGGACCATGCAGAAAGCTAAGTAGGAACCGGGCCTAGTGGTACATGTCTATAACCGGAGTACTCCGGATGCTGAGTTAGGAGGATCACTGCAAATTCAAGACCAGCCTGGGCTACAAAGTGAACTCAAAGCCAGCCTGAACTACAGAGCAAGACCCTGTCTCAAAAAAAGACAAAGACGAAGAAGACGAAGGAGACGAAGAAGACAAAGAAGACGACGACGATGAAGACAAAGAAGAGGACGAAGACGACGATGACGAAGAAGACGAAGATGACGACGACAAAGAAAGAAAGAAAGAAAGAAAGAAAGAAAGAAAGAAAGAAAGAAAGAAAGAAAGAAAGAAAGAAAGAAGTCAGAATTTAAACCAAGGGTTTGGGGCTGGGGATATAGCCCAGTGGCACAGTGCCTGCCTGGCAAGTGCAAGGTCCTGAGTTTGATTGCTGGTACCAAAATAAACAAAATAGCCAACTAAGGTTTTGTTCTTGTTTTTAAATTATAATTTACCAACTCCCTCCCCTCTAGGTAATGTGTTATTCTGCCCACATAAACTCAACCAAAAATATATAATGTCTAACAAGGTCAGGAATTTAGGGTTCAAAAAATAAGATTTAACCACTGTCCATAAAATGACATAAAGATTTAACCACTGTCCATAAAATTTGTCCAGAAGAATGGACAGTGAAAGAAAAAAGCAGCATCAAATCTTGGAAACAGTCCAAATCTCCATCAACCAAGGAATGGAAAAAGATATGATTATATACAATGGAGTGCTACTCAGCCATAAAGAAGGATAAACTTGAGATAAACAGCTAAGTTGATACACCTTGAGATCATACTCTTAAGTACAATAAATCTTACACGTGTAAGTACTGCACTGTTTCTCTGGTGTGAGAAACTGAAACTATAAATAAGGACCAAAATATATAATACAAATTGGAAATATAAAGAAATTATTCAAAAGGAAAGGGGTATTAGGGAGGGAGGACAGGGAAAGGAGAAAGGAAAGAAGAAAAAATTAAAAATGAGAAAAGAAGAATAAAATGGAAACAAAGCTTTATAAATAAAGAGGGGAAGAGGGATTGAAAGAAGGGAAGGGGGATGGGAAAAAAGAATCAAGATATTTCATGTACAGGTAGAAATTCTCTATGATGAATATGATCATTATGTAATCTAAAATGTACCAATAAATTTAATTTTTTAAAGAAGCAGCACAAATTTGGAGTGTGGAGATGTGTGAGCATGGATGAGGAAAGATCAGGGTGTTTTCTTTCTAAGAGAACTGGCCATGGGCAGTGGAGAGCCTCTCAGGAGCTGGGATTTACCAAGACTGTTCTGCAGCCAGCAAAAACAACATAATGCAATGCAAACGCTAAGTGGTAGCCAGGAGACAAGAGGCAGCAGCAGCAGCAGAGACAGTGGTAGGAAACAGAAGAGCCATAAGGACGGACCTGGGGACCTGCTGGGAGGTGAGGCTGCTAGAATGTGAATTCTAAGTCTCAATCAAAAGCATGTTGAAGGCTTGGTCTCCTGCCTGTGGCACCACTGGGAAGAGGTGGAACCTGCAGGAGGTAGGGCCCACTTGGGGGAGGAGAAGCCACTGAGGACATGCCAATGAAGAGGGTGCTGGGACCCCAGGATGTCTGTGTGTGTGTGTGTGTGTGTGTGTCTGTCTGTCTGTCTGTCTGTCTGACTGTCTGCCTATCTGTCATGTCAAAGGTTTACAGCCTGGATAGTGCTATAGTTTGAATGTGCCCCTCAAAGTCCATGTGTTGAAACTTAATCCCTAATGCTAATCCCTAATGCAACAGAATTGAGAGGTGGGACCTTTATGAGGTGGTCAAGATTACTGTATCACAAGAGTGGGTAAATAATAAAATGAGTGGATTCCAGATAAAAGGATGAGTTCAGCCTTTCCCTCTCCCTCGTCCTTTCCTCCCACAACCTCTGTCCTTACTGCCTTCCATAATGGAAAAATATAGCAGGAAGGCTACTGCTAGATACAAGCCTCCTCCATCCTGGACTTCCCAACCTCTAGAGAAATTAGTCTCTGGTCTTTATAAATTTCCCAGTCTCACTGCACATGATGGAATATGCCTATGATACCAGCACTTGGCAGGCTGAGGCAAGAGGATTACTGTAATTTTTATTTCAAGGCCAGCCTAGACTACCTAGTGAGACCCTGTCTCAAAACATAATAATAATAAATAATAATAAATTATCCACTCAAAGGTATTGTATTACAGCATATTATAAGACAGTTAAGGGCCAGGGAGATGTCTCAGTGGAATAAGCGCTTCCCTGGCAAGCGCAAAGGCCTGAGTTCAATCCCCGGTTCCGCAAAAAAAAAAAAAAAAAAAGACAGTTAACATCTTGCTATAGGATAAATACGAAGTAGGAAGTGGTGCCAAAGAAATATATTTGACCCCAGAGAGGCTATACTTGGTCAGTTTTGTCACTGGTTTTAAATTTTCTGCATGTAATGTACACTTCACTGCCCAAACTATAGTAGATTGTTTCCACTGCTTCTACCTTGGTAAATTCTGGAAGGACCAGGATTTGGGGATGTATCAACATGGGAAGCACTCAATGTCTGCTGAGTCTGAGATGCCCAAGAGACAGCTGGCAATGCAACGATACCCAAGAAGCACCTAAATATCCAACTTCAGAAGACAGCTGGACTAGTGGCATATAAACTGCTGAGCCATGGATGTTATTTAAGTAAATTTAAAGCCATGAGAGTAATAAGATCACTTTAGAAGAGTAAGGGCACAGTGGGCAGAGGGTCCATGCCAATGTCTTAGAAGTTTTACTGAGCTAAAATGAAACTACCTCTACCCCATCACCACACATAAGCAGCAACCCACTTTAAATTTTCACTCAATTTTAGAACATCCTTCTTTAAAAGAAAAAAACAAAAACAAAAAACTGTCTTCCCACAACTCCATTCCTGAGTCTGAGGTACATGTCTTTAGAAATTAAAGAGAATAAGATTTCTCTCTCTTCCTTGAGAAACTCTTTTAAGATCTGAGAACCTCAAAAGCTTCCCACAGAGTTCCCTCATCTCCTTCCCATGAGAGAACATGCCACACTTCAGGGCCCACAATCCCAATACACCCCAATCCCTAGAAGCAGGTCCCAGACATTTAAAGGGTATCAGACACTTAAGGCTTATAGCCTACACGTGCTCTTTAGATCCCACTTCATGTGGCCAAAACTGAGAAAGCATGCTGCCCTTGTCATAGAACACATTTTTAAACTTAAAATTAGGTCATTTGTGTCAAGTGTCACAGAGTAGTCACACAAGACAAAGGCTAAGCAGCCTCCAGGGGACTTGTCAATGAGGAGAGAATAAGAGCTCTTAGTGAGAGATGATGACAGGCAGGAAGGGGACAGCAGAGGCAGCTTGAAGAGCACTGAAGAGTGGGAGACAAGGAAAAACAGACCACGAGTACACACTCTTTTTTTTTTTTTTACAAAATTTGGCTATAAGAATCCAGTTGAAATGATTAGTTCAGCCCAGAAAGTTGAAGGGCATCCAGCCTTCCCTCTATGACCCTTTAACACATCCCCACCAGCTTTTACCACCTGACAGGACTATCCCATGCTGCCTGATGGGACAAGCAGGTATGTGCCAATGGTGGTCCAGAGCCACCCAGCAGCAAGACACAAATTATGTCCCCATGAACATATATTAAATACCTATCTAACAGAAAGCTGAACTCCATGTTTCAGGTTGTGTGGTGAGGGGATGGTTTTTAAGCAAGAGTCTGGCTATGCAGTTCAGGCTGGCCTTGAACTCACAGTGCTCCTCCTGCCTCAGCCTCCTGAGTACTGGGATTATAGGCATATGCCACCATGCCCAGTTCTAGGATCTACTTTTATATGATCCAAGATATCTTACTTTCAGAACAGCTTCCTTTCAGATATCTAAGTGGCACAGTGACATTAACTATAACCAGTCAGTTTTCTAGAACAGTAATTCTGCCTGAGGCCAAGAAGATAAAGATGTATCCCCAGATATGCCCAGGTGGGACAAAGGACCAAGAATGTGAGAAATCAGGCAAGGGTTTCAAGGATGACAGGTGACCACACTGGAGCTACAGTGTGGTTGCCTGAAAAGCAAAACTACTCTGTTTGAATAATTTTTTTCCCTTCTATCTTTCATGTTCCTTGTTCATGGTGTTTGAACAAATACATGCAGA